TTTCGTGAGATTCAAAGGCAAGAATCTAAACAGGCCTCAGAAAGAGACTGGAAACAGAAAACCCCAGTGTCAGAACCCAGGCAGCATTCTTTGATTTTCGCTCCCACTAATTTATCCTCTATGCTCTGCTACTCAGCCCAGAATTATAAAGTAGTCACGGGGTCAGACCACCTCTACCCAAGAAATGAGCCTGGATGGACACTAGCATCCCTTAATTGTTGTTTGTCTGAAAAGGGTAACTGATTAAGATGTTCACCTTAGTCCGGTGATAAATACAGACACTGGGAGCTCACCACTGGGATCCTGTGAATCTTAGGATCAGGATAAATCAGGGGATGAAACAGCTCCCAGAAATTGGTGGGGGAAGGGAGGAAGAGAGAGTGGCTCACCACAGAAGAGATGCTATCACATAAATAGGAAGATACCTTGAAATACGAACTGTTCTTCCAGTCCTGGTTGAGAAGGGAGGTTGTGCCATGTGCTGGCTAAGAGTACAATGGCACTGGCACCCAAGACTTGAGCTCCAGTCCTGGTCTTGCCATCTAGAGGTGGGTTAGCTTTAGTCAATCACGGTCTTTCTGAAGTTTGGTTTCAGCAACCCTGGGCCGTTACTGTTTCAAACCCTTTGTATTTTCAGTACCAAGTACATTGCCTTCATAATGCATTTGTACTCTTTTCTCATTCCAAATGAGAAGATATATGAGCAAGTACTTTGTGAACTGTATCAATTTAGACATTGCTCTTAAAGAGCTACTTGAAATGTAATTTGTCTATTCATTTCCTTCTCCAAGTACCTGGGTCTTTTGCCTCCATAATGAGGGCTCCCTTCAGCAGGTATGGAATATCAGACACTACAAGCCAAAACAATACCTACATTAAGACTAGGCAAGATATTTTACATAAGCAGCACATGCATTTTGTGTTTCTTTGGCCCATTGCCTCCTGAGCATGCATTTGTTATAGTACAGTGGGCTAGAAGTGGGAATCATCAGCTGCAATTCCTCTCTGTATCTCATTAGAGGTCTAGTTTCCCCTTAATGCACATGAAGACCTTTCATTAGCAATAATGGGAGCTGCACGCATCAAAGGGAAAAATAAACCTACTCCATTGTGATCTAGGAGATGAGGTTATTGGGACATTTTTCTGGCCTGATTGGAGAATCATGACATTCAGAGATACATGATTAGATCATGGAAAAATTAAGATCTTTGTGACTTTTAATAAATAAAATGCAATTTAAAAACCTCGAAATGGAGGTCAAGAATCAACACTAAAGAATCATAGGCAGATTGAAATTAGAAATGAGTTAAGTAAGTGAAAGCCAAATGACAAGATAAACAGAGGTAGAGGAAGATCACCCAGGGGATTTGACAAAATAAGAACTGTTTCCAGTACACACAAAGTAACACACTGGCAAGAGAGCCTACAGTCCAAGAAGAGACGGCAAGGACCATTTACCGTCAGGGGCAGTAAACACTGCTCAAAGTTAAACAAATCCTTTGCTTCCATGTCCACAAAGGAAGGTAGAGGATGCCAGAAACGGCTGTGCCCTGAAAAAGGGTCAAGGAAATAAAATATTACTAAAGGAAATAAAAGTGACACCTGAGTTTGTCTTGAGGTTGACATAAATGCCAGAAGCAATATTTTCCTACTGCAATCAACATTAAACAAGAACACGTGGAAATTGGCCATTCTGCGTTGTTAAGGGTCTGATGAAGAAGTGGCAGAATCCTTTACTTTTGTTCAAATGTAAAAACAGTAATCTTTGGATTAAAGGAGAATATATTATTATCTTTACAGGACATCAGACAATGAGACCTATTTTTTTTCTTTTTTTGGAAGGTGGGAAATAAAAGATGTACCTGCATCCTATTTAAAAGGAAGGACTTCAAGCACATTCTAGAATAGGCATGAATTCAGCACTTCATCTCCTATCCCCTCAACTCATGACAGTTCCAGAGGATACTCAAGTTAGTAAGACTCTTGAGGTCTTACTAACCTCAAGTTAGTAACTCAAGACCTCTTCCAATCCATCCAAAGAGGTCGACTCCAACTTGGGAGTCACCACTTTTCAGTATTAATAGTCCCAGATCTTTATCCTTTTACCACAATGACTACTAACCACTGGCACCTTTTCTGTACTCCCCAAATGATGAAGAATCCTGTTGAGATGGCCTGAAGCAAAAACACTCTCCAACTTGTATGACTGCATGTTCCTCTCTTGGGTCATATGCTGATTAATAAGCTCAGAGGCAGAATCTGTGTCCTGTCTGCTTTGGAACATCAAGAGTGCTTGATATAGAAGGTACTTGATAAACACTTGTTAAATTTTTTTAAAAAAAGAGATTTTTTTTTTGCTCAGTAACACAGAATGAAAGAGAATTTGTAAAAGTACAGAACTAGCATAAAAAAGATGCCTAGTGAGAATTTTGTTTAATGACAAATGGTGTATTACATGCTTAATTTGGTTGAGAAATGTTTATTGTAAAAATGAAGTTTATAACAAAAGTAAAAAATTATTTTATAACATTTTGATATCACTACACCTGAGTTTGATGCCAGCATGGTTAAAAGTATTTGTATTCAATCTGTAACAGACTGCTTGCCATTGATTCAGTAAAAAGATTAAAAATCGGTTGCCTAACTCATAAAATAAATGTAACTGGCCACAATATCTAATCTCATGGAATCAAAAATTTTTTAGGGATAGGTGCAGTGGCTCACACCTGTAATCCCACCTTTTTAGGAAGTCAAGACAGGAGCCAACACCAGCCAGGCCAACATGGTAAAACTCCATGTCTACAAAAAAACCCCACAAAAAATTAGCCAGGCGTGATGGCATGTGCCTAGGGCCCCAGCTATTCGGGAGGCAGAGCAGGCTCATCAAAGTGCATTATATGGAAGTGTCCATTTATATAAAATACGTCTCAAGGGAGTAAATACTGGGCCACAGCAGTTTGCTCCACCAAACTGTAATTTCCCAACAGCTCTGGCTTCCCCTTCCTCACTCCCTGTCTCAGATCACTTGGAGTCACATGAACCCCTCTTCCAATCTATCCAAAGAGGTTCTGACTCCAACTTGAAAGTCATCCCTTTTGAATATTAATAGACCCAGATTTTTATTGTTTTACCACAATCGCAATGACTACTAACCACAGTTACCCCTTTCATACACCCCAACTGAGGAAGGATCCTCTGTTGAGATGGACTGAAGCACTCACTCTCCAAGGCACTTAAGACTTCATACTCTCCGGCTTGCATGACTTCATGTTCTTCTTCTGGGTCATATGCTGATTAATAAGCTCAGAGGCAGAATCTGTGTCCTGTCTGCAGTGGAACACCAAGAGTGCTTGACATAGTAGGTACTTGACAAATACTTGTTAATATTTTTTTAAAGAAAGAGAATTTTTAAAAGTACAGAGCTAATATAGATCAAGATGCCCAGTGACAATATTTTCAAATGACAAATGGTGTATTGCATGCTTAAATTGGTAGAGAAATGTTTATTGTAAAAGTGGAGTTTTTAACAAAAATAAAAAATTGTTTTATAACATTCTGATATCACTACACCTGAGTTCGATGCCAGCATGGTTTGAAAGTGAAGCTGACATAAGTTTTCTACAGGACGTTACAAAACTATAGTATGAAGAATGTAATAATATTTTAGAAGACAATAAACTTAAATATGTAGATGCTGTACATGAGAAATCACACCAAGCTCTCTTAATTAGGTTAACATTAGATAACCACATCTCAATTTCCAAGCTTCCAAAAATAGGTTAAAAAATTATTTTAGTTTATGTTGCTATTAAAAAAACACATTTGGAGCAGGGATCCATTCTTTCAGGTTTTAAGAATAATGTTATGATTATTAGATTATTATCAATGATTATGAAGTTAATGTCAAATATCTTCTACTTTCTTGGTTTTTTTAACATTCAATTTTTTCATTAGATTAACATGCTAGCTTTTCCTGTCTTTTTGTTCTTGGGTAAGTGTATGATTTATTAGACCCGGTGCTCAATTTACAAGCTTTTCTCATTTCAACTTGAAGAAACTGCAAATATTTATAGAAGATGAATCACATGTATTTGTTTTTGAAAAATGTCAGAACACAGCACTCAAATCAAATGCTGAACAGAAGCTATTCCCTGACACTACATACTGTGGCGATTTAATTTCCACTGACATGTTTTCCTAAACTGTTTTTCCCACTACAATAATTCCTAAATCAAAAATTACTGAAATCTTTATGTATTCACATGTTACTAAGTTATAGAAATCTAAACAATAATAAAAAATTTAAGAAAGAATCACACCTTTAAAAACACAGTTGAAGTGATTCAGTTCATCTTACATTCTAATATGTAGGTTATGTTCAAACTGGTTTTCCTTGACTTTATTTTGCTCACTTGCTACCTTAAGGGTGCTTCACCTCCACAGTAAGATCTCAAGTCTAGAAAATTAGAATGCAGAGAAATGAACCAACAGAGCATATACTCCATAAAGGCAGGGGCCATGACCAGTTTTACCTGTTAATATATCCCTTCTGTCTAACACAGTCATACTCAAATTTGTGTTGACTCAAGTTTAAGGAATCACCATGGGTAGAAGGGCAAAACAGCAGAAACTCTTGAAGGCAATTTGGCAATACACGTAAAAGGCCTTACATTTCACATACCCTTTGACTCCTAAGTCTACTTCAAAGATTATCCCAAAGACAATTATGTATGTGAGCTCAGGGCCTGGAACATTCTAGACCTTACATTTCACATACCCTTGACTCATAAGTCTACTTCAAAGATTATCCTAAAGACAATTATGTATGTGAGCTCAGGGCCTAGAACACTGTAGGCCTTACATTTCATATACCCTTTGACTCATAAGTCTACTTCAAAGATTATCCTAAAGACAATTAGGTATATGAGCTCAGTACTTGGATTCTAGAATGTCCTAGGCCCTGAGCTCTTTAAAGTAAAACCCAGCTAACAACCCAACATCCTGGCTAGGGTACCTAGAGTGCCTCCTTCATCATATATACATGCTAAATGGCTGCCACATACAAATCAGAGTTCTGCATGCTTCACCCCACCCCACAATGAAAGTCTTCAACACTCACGGCCACCTTGTGAGGTAACAGACCTGTTCCCGTTTCTCATCTCATCTGGTAACAAAAAGTGAGGCACAGGGAGGTTAAGTAACTTATGGAAAGGAGGAGCAAGGTTTCAATCTGGCTGCCTAATCCTAGAGCCCCATTGGTGCCCTCAAAACAATGTTGTCCAATAAACAGATTTCTCAACTCTCCTGACCCATCCCCTTTTCTGATATACCTTTTAGGGGATCATCATCTAAAATTCTCATAGGTACAACCCCACCAGCTGGCAGATCTCACTGATTCTGGTGGTAAACAAATAGCAAGATCTGTGATATCTTTCAAATACAAAATAACTAAAATATGTTTTTCCCAATGTACTACTATTGTCCTAATTCCTCATTCTACATTCATAATACTTGCTATTAGCAGAACTGTTATTTCATGGTTTGGGAAGACAAATGTGAAGTCCTAAATAATATAAACAAAATAAATTTTACTTCTGGTAACATGATTTTTTTCTTTAAAATTTCTATGTCCTGCCCAGGTGTAGTGGCTTATGCCTATAATCCCAGCACTTTGGGAGGCAGAGGCAGGCGGATCATTTGGGGTCAGGAGATGGAGACCACCAGCCTGGCCAACATGGTGAAACCCCATCTCTACTAAAAATATAAAAATTAACCACAACTGGTAGCACATGCCTGTGGTCCCAGCTACGGAGGCTGAAGTGGGAGAAGCGCTTGAACCTGGAAGGTAGAGGCTGCAGTGAGCTGAGATTGTGCCACTGCACTCCAGCTTGGGTGACAAAGTGAGACTGTCTTTAAAAAAAAAAAAAAAAAACAAACTTGTGTCCAGTGGCCTATAAGTACAGGGATTGGTTGACCATCACCTGCAGAAATGAAAAGGCAGACTGACTGGAATTAGGCCAAGTGATTCCAGGTCTGGGGACAAGGAATTCTTGAACAAGTACACAAAGCCTGGACTTCTAGGGGTGCTCATTTGGAAGCAGTGAAGTATAAAAATTTAAAAAAAAAAAAAATTCAAAATAGGTACCAGGGCCTCTGGGTCAGGAGCTGGGAGAAGTAGTTGGGGTAAGTAGCTTGAAAGGCGGCACCTGAGAGATAGCAAAAGTGGTGGAGCCTACAGGTTTCAGCCTAGTGAAACTTCTGGTCAAGGCTTTTAGCTTTTAGGAATAAACAAGTATAAGCAAACAAAAGTAAGCTACAGAAAATACATCTAAAACCCAATGAGCAAGCAGTCAAGATTTTGTTTTATTTTATTATGGCTAGAAAGACAGTGTTATAGCCAAAATCGGCAATGACACTAAAATCCTCTGTGCTTTTCAATATGCAAATATATTTCTTCCAAGAGTTGCCCTGGTGTGATTTCAAGAGTTCATGTTAACTTCTTTTCTGGAAACTTCCTTTTCTTAGTTGTTGTATTCTTGAAGAGCCTGGGCCATGAAGAGCTTGCCTAAGTTTTGGGCAGTGAACTCCTTGATGTTCTGGCAGTAAGTGTTTATCTGGCCTGTGCATTTGAGAAAGAGATAGAGCCATAATGTTCCACAGACTGTAAAATGATCCAGAAAGCTAGTCAAACAGGAAAATCAGCATAAAACAGAATCACCTGTATATTGTTTTGAATCCAGAGTTTACTTTTCCATAAGGGATAAGAAATACAAGTTCTTATGAAAAGAAGCTACTGTCCACTCTTAATTACATGGAGAATAAAGAAAAACTACTCTTCAAAAGGTTATCAACCCTAAGGACATATTAGCTCTCAGTCAAAAGGACTAAGTAGATCAAATCAATGCTGTACAACTGAGAAAACAGCACTGACTAGACTTAACAGGTAGAAAGGAGATGCTAACAATAAAATCAGAGAACTGCAAACCAACCAGACCCATTTGACCCAGATGTGAATAGGTGACGGAGGTTTTCAGTTTGTGCTTTGGAAATGTTAAGGGGATTTCCTCCGAACCAAGACAGAGCAAGAGTAGAGAGTTCACTTGAAGAAAGGGCTCCAGCATTGCTTTTTATGTCCTAAAACTAATGATCTAATTTAATGCAACAGTTACATGCTTCTTGAAAATAGAAGAATTTCAATTCTGTTTGAATTGAACCTCAGGGAAGAAATTATGTCTCATTTCCCAAATTTAATTTGCATGTACACTAGAAAGTGTTAAGAAATTTGGAATTTGTTTCCACAATACAAATCTATCAATAGAATTGAGAAATTGCCAATCAGCTTTTGAGTAGGATTTTCACTCTGATAAAATCTTCTCACAGTCAAGTATCTGACTGAATCAAATGGCATTTAACATTTCTATAAGATTATAGTCAAATAAGGGCATGAATATCATATTTTTAAAATCAAATCCTTGCACAGGACACAGGACCTCTACTGCCTAACAGTGGTGTTAAATATTAAGTATACCCAGAAAAAGTTCATTCAGAAATACATTTGTGCTGCCCCAATTTAAGTCAAAGTGAGGGAAATAATTTCCCAAATTCAAGTCAAATACCAACTGTACAGTGCTGGGCTGGGAGAGGAATAGTAAGAGGCCTACGCTAAGTAATCTTATACAGTAAGACTGTAAAAAATTTGTCTTCGTTTCCATGGAAAAGGGCTCATTTTAGAAAGTTTATAATGCCATCTCAAAAATAGTTAGAAACACACAGAGTGAAGCATTCAAAGAACCTGGACAAAAGAACAAACTCTTACAAGTTCATAGATTTCAGATATTACAGGTGCTAGATTCAAATTCATCCTGCAACCATTTCAAAGATACTAGCTTTTATGGCACGCTTTTCTCACTGTCTTCTGCTTCCTAAGAAATGGACAAAACCAGCCAGGTTTTGCACTGGGCAACAATACCTGCAATGAGCAGTGAGTCCATCCTGGCAGGAGGCTGTGGTGGTTTGAAGAGTTTGGACAGGTCCTCCTCAGGGAGCGGGGGTTCTCCTCGGCTCTGGCGCTGCATATTCTCCTGCTGGCGACGCTGCTGATACTAATATTCAAAGAGAAAATGATTTGGTCATTTTTTCTCCATCAGAGAAAAAAAGACCTCCTTCCCCTACACAACCAGCAGAAATCCACTGCTCTGAATTCCAACCTCAGTTTTATCAATGGAACATTTGGGGAAACTTGCTTCTAAGAAGCTAAATATGCTAACAGTAGAAGAAAATTCCCTTGTGGCAAACCCTAGTGTCACTCTGGGCTCTAAGAGTCTATAACTAATAGTGTTTCAGAAAACAAAACTAGTTATGTAAGTAAAAGGGCACTTAAAGGGAAAGAAGCTCATGATTAGTAAGGTAAAGACAGTTGCTTTACCATTTTTCACAACGAGGTAATTAATGATCCATGCTAACTTTAATGACTATGTAATGAACTACCACATTGAGAATTCTTTCAACTTTACTCCTATTGACCTAAAATAACAATACAGGTCATGTTATTACTGCTATGTTCACTATTGTTACTACTCTTTTTTTTTTGAGATGGAGTCTTACTCTGTTGCCGAGGCTGGAGTGTAGTGGTGCCATCTCAGCTCACTGCAACCTCCACCTTCAGGATTCAAGTGATTCTCCTGCCTCAGCCTCCCGAGTAACTGGGATTACAGGAATGTGTGATCACGCTCCAGTTAATATTTGTATTTTGAGTAGAGACAGGGTTTCACTACGTTGGCTAGGCTGGTCTCAAACTCCTGATTTCAAGTGATCCACCAGCCTCAGCCTCCCAAAGCGTTGAAATTACAGGCGTTAGCCAATGCACCTGGCCTATTACTACTACTCATAACAGATAATGTCTGTACCTTAGCTCTACAACTAAGGATGGATACTATAATAGCTCAGATAATGCTTCGAATACTTTGAGACTCTGGATTCCTATGATTCACTGAAGAGAAAGTAGGGTTATATATATATAAAGGTAAACATTAACTATAAACTTATAGGTCAATTACCCTAAGAGCTAACAGCTATGCCTGCTCACAACAGTGAAGCAAATAATATCCCATACAACCTTAAAATGTCAGGTAATGAGAAACCAAGGTAGTTTAGTAAAAATTTAGTCTTTGAATTCCTAAGAAAATCAAGAGAAGTGACAATTCTTTCTAGTGAAGGAAAGTAACTTGCTTTATGATTCCTGTATTCATTATGGGGTACTCATAGGAGACAAATATTCCATTTGATCCCCTGGGTGAGTCCTTAACCTACAGGAAAATGAAATCCAGCTGAGATGATTTTCCCCCTTAGTTTATCAGACATGTGTAAGCACTCCCATCTTTTCAGTCAAAAAAAAAATACTGATTTAAATATGTTTTCTCAATTCTAAGTTGGTAGAAATAAAGTACTTTAAATTTCACTATATACTGAATATGAACTCTGATATTTAGAAAAAATTTAAATATAACATTCTCAGAACCACATAGTTGTGCTTAGAATTCTGTATTTAACACGGTCTGTTTAAAGTACATTTTAATGGACGGAGTAGTCATATATAAATACTACTTTCACAGATAAACATTCTGCAATCAACTTATGTATGAATCAAATGCTAAGACTACTTTAGAGCAATATAGTCCAAATACAATATTCCAGGAACTGTGAAAACCATGTGTCCTGCAGGCAACAAGAATAAAGAAAAGGTTAAATGGCCACAGCCGTAGATGTGTGTATATGAGAATATTCAGATAATTTTCTAGGGTTTTTGTCTGTATCATACTATCTACTTCACAGCAGTTGGTCTATTATTTCCTATCAAAATTGCTTGTTCTTAATCACAATTGCTCGGTTTTTTAAATGAACTGAAGATTGCTAACTATGCTGCAATGAGCCACTGCCAAACCAATTATAGTTAGTAAAGAAATGAGCTGTGACATTCTGGAATCTCTTTGCTTCTGATTTTCTCAATAAATGTATCTCTTATTTGCATAACCTTGGCATTACAATCTGAGCTTAATATACTAGCTCTCTTTAACACAGGTATTTTTAAATATAACATGCAAATTAATATCTTAGGAACATGCCATATAATCTTTTTAAAATATAATATAGAGTAACTAGCTAACAGTCAGTGCTTTACCAAAGATAATTTAGGTCATTTTGAACATGACTCCCGAAATACAAAACATAGAAATACATGTTTGTTGCATTTTTCCACAACACCAACCTGATGTTTCTGCTGCTGCTGTTTACTAGTATTCCTCATGTATGTGTTGTATTTAACTATATCCTGGCTCATTTCGTCCACTCTGTCCATCAGCAACTGTAGATTCTTCCCCAAATGATTGCTGAAATGTAAAGTAAACATACTGACAGGTCTTACTTTAAGGTACAGCTTTGCTACTGCTCTATACAGTTTTAAGATAAGAACTTGAACCGGCTTTTGCTAAAAGAATGAGAGCACACATTCGCATAAAAGCAAGGGCAGAGGAACGAATCTAAGTCAACTTTTACTAAACTTTCTATACTGAACTTCCCACACCAAACTTCCCACTATAATCTCAGGGATACCTGAAATAGCTCGGTTTCTTATTGGGAGAGCACAGGCATGTTAGGGTAGGAATGGTTAAACATACCTAGTGAGACAGCTATAATGCATATTTTTTATACCAAGTTAAATATTCCCAAACTCTTTTCCTTAACTTACCCCTGCCCAAATGCATTCCGTAACATTAAAATCAGTCGTCATAGGAAAGAACCATACAGATTATAACATCTGGCACATAAACAAGCAATGGTGGCATTTGTTCTACAAAATCAGATGAAAAGGCTCCTTTCCTCTTACCTTTTCTAGAATCTGTAGTACAGTATTTCATATTTCTTATTCTCTCCAGAAATTTCTATTGTAGCTCAGTTACTGACATCGCTTTATAAAGTGATGTGATGACTGACACAATGGCAACCATATTCATTGACTTCTGCCTGCAACTTACCTGGACAGCTACTATACATATGTATTTTTAAAACAGCAAGCTGCTAAAAAGTAGTACCCAATCATTAACTGCAAACTGCTATTTACTAAACTCCTATTATGTGCCAGCCTTAGTACGAGAAAACAGAGAGACAACAGTGAATGAGACATATACGTTCTATATCTTCATTGATCTTATTACTGATTAGGGATGGGGGAGAAAGGGAAGGGAGAGGTGAAGAGATACTCAATTTAGGTAGCATGATCAGAATATCTCTTTGAGAAGATGACAGACTGAAAGTGAAAGATGAGTCAGCCATGCCAAAAATATTCTAGGCAAAAGTAAGTACAAGTGCTGAATGCCTGAGATGAGCAGGAATTAGGCAGATTCGATAAAAACAAGAGGCCTGTCATGGCTAGAACACAGTGATCAGGTCAGGCAGGTGAGACAAGCACACACGGGAACCTCATTAGCACCATACAACCTCCCAACAATGTAGTTTGCTGTGAATGACACCTCTCAACTCCAACGTGAACGATACCCTGGAGTTTAATTTTAAAATGATCATTCTGTTGCTATGCAGATGGACTAGAGAGCGGAAACCAGGAGACTGGTTAAAAGTCTATTGTGGGGCATTGGCAAGGATGCGGAAAAATGAAAACACTCATACACTGGGGTGGGAAGGTAAAACTGGTACAGCTACTATGGAAAACAGTTTGGTGGTTCCTCAAAAAGCTAAACCAAATTACCACAGAACCCAGCAATTCCACTGTTATGTATATACCCTAGAGAATTAAAAATATATATTCACACAAAAACTTGTACATGTATGTTAATAGCTACATTATTCTTAATTAGCCAAAAACTAGAAACAATCTAAAATTCCTTCAAATGATGAATAAATACAGTATTGTGTATCTGTACAATAGAATGTTCTTTGGCCTTAAAAATGAATAAGTACTGATGCCACAACATGGATGAACCCTGAAAACATTTCAGGGAAAGAAGGTAGACACAAAAGGCTGCTTATTGTAGGACTCTTTTTCTTTTCTTTTTTTTCAGACAGTTTCACTCCATCATCCAGGCTGGAATGCATTGGCACAACCTCCACCTCCCAGGTTCAAGCAATTCTCATGCCTCAGCCTCCCCATTAGCTGTGGCTACAGGTAAGCACCACCATACCTGGCTAGATTTTTTGTATTTTCAATCGAAATGGGGTTTCACCACGAATTCCTGACCTCAAGAGATCCTCCCGCCTTGGCTTCCCAAAGTGCTGGGATTATAGGCATGAACCACCACTCCTGGACAGGATTCTATTTTTAAAATATTCAGATTAGGCAAATCCATAGAGATATAAAGTAACCAGAGGCTGCCATTAGGGGAATTGGAATGACAGCTTAATGGGTTTGGGTTCCTGTTCAGGGTGATGAAAATGTTCTGGAGTTGGTAATGGCTTTACGACATTGTGAATATACTAACAATGACAGAAGTATACATTTGAAAACGGTTTAAATTGCCATTTTTTTTCTCTATTTTAAAAACTGTACCTCTGGAAAATAATCTCTCATGATATTACAAGAGAGAAATCATGGTGACTTAAACTAGGATGGTGGCAATGAGCACAGAGAAAAGTGAGCAGAACTGAGAGAGAGTCTGAAGGCAGGGCTGGCAATCTTTATTTCACAGGGGGCATCAGAGAGGAATGGAGGGTGGCTCCCAGTCCTCTGGCTTGAGCAGCCAACTAGCTGTTATTACATTTACAGAGAAGGGAAAGACTGAGAAAGAAACAGTTTGGGAATATTGTGAATGAATAAAAATAAATCCAACTAAAATATGGATTCCATCAATAACCTCAAGAAATCAGAATGTTTTCACTCTTTCTCAAATAATGGAAGGAGCACAGAACTAGGCTATGTGTGAGTAAACTGACCTTTGTTCCCAGCCTGGCACTACCTAGGTAACCTTGGTCCAGTAACGTGGCCTAATGACTTCATCTGTTGAGGAATCAAGTGCTTCTTTCGTATTTATTTTATTGTGTTGCAATTTTTTTAAGCACTTCTAACTTTAAAACATTTCTTCTTCTCTGGATACAATGTATTTGCTTCTGTTTTACTCTAATTTCTTAATAGTTGATTTAAATTCACTCAGACTTAAGTATATTAACAGGGCAAGCCTGGGGAAAAAAGGAAGACAACAGTCAAAGTGCAGTAACTTAAAAACGCACTGCAAGTTTGCCATCTATCCTAAGGACAGTGGGGAACCAGCTAAAGATTTTAACCAAAGGAGTAATATGAGCAGCTAATTTGCATTTAGCAAGATCATTACAATTTTGGAAGAAGAAAAGGTCAAAAAACAGGAAGTGAGGAAACTGTGAAAGTAATCAGGAAGAGAAATAAGGTCCTAGACTAAGGCAGTAAAAGTCACAGGAGTAAGACAAAATCACCCCAGGAGTACATGTGTGAGAAGACAGACCCTGAGGAACACTGACAGAGACAAGCACAAGAGGGTTCACTGCGGAGAATGAGAGGAAAGCCAGAAGAGCTATAGTTTCACAGACTCCTAGGAAAGAATTTCAGGAAGAAGCCTTTATCAACACATTGCAAGCTGAAGAGTCTAAAATACTCAGTGACACAGGGACATCAAAGTTTTCTGTGACTTGGAGGGAGGTCTTACTACATACAATGGGTGGAATACCACAAACTGTTGGTATTCCAACCGTGGGTATTCCATCAGTGGGAAATGAGAAAACAGTGACATCAAAATTCTATCGAGAAGTTTGATTATGAAGCAAACAGAAAAATTCAGAAGACAAAAGGAAATGGATAATAATGGCATGAGATAAAAAGGTATTCTTTTCGTAAGTTTTTTTTTTTTTTACATTGGCGTATGTAAAACAAATTAAAAATGTTCTTGTTTTTAGGAGATGCAAGCTGAAGTATTTAGGGGTTAAAGTCAGGTCTACAATTTTCTTTCTGATGGTTCAGAAACAAAAGATAGTACTTGTGTATGTAGATAGTACAAAAGTGGCATGATACACAATTGGTGAATCTAAAGACAAGGTTTATGGATGTATGGCTCTTTATATTTTTCTTTCAAATTGCCTAAAGAGTCGAACATGTAAAAATAAATTTTTAATTGAAGAACAAGCCAATAAAGATAATAAAAAATAACTAGCATAGAAAGAAATGGAAAATCTATGAAGAAGGAAGGAATACACCAACCTAATGAAGTCCTGAGCAGGCAGAGGACAAGGGGCACTGGCCTCAGGCTACTGATCTTTTCATTTTTACCAATGAGCAACGTGAGCACATTAAGTATAAGAAATGTCATTAGCTACACGATTAATTGTTAAGTCATTTGTCATTAATTGCAAAAGGAAAACAGAGAAAGAAAAGATCATCACCAATGCTGTGGCTGGGAGGTTAAAAGGAAAGTGGTGACAGGAGGGGAAAAAACAACAGCAAAAAAGAGGCACTACCACAGGCAAAGAAAAATCTACTATTTATACCCAGACCTTAAATCTTGGAGGCTGGTTACAGTGATGAGAAAGGCACTACTAAAACAGACCCACTGTTTCTACCCGAAAAGTCTGTAATATAAAGTACTAATAATATATGCTGCAAGTATATGAAGTTATTTTGAAAGAACCCTGATACAAGTACAAATATGTGGACTTCAAGGATTTCATTAACTTTTATATTATGATGATGCTCTTCATAAACATAACCAATCAGAAACACTTAAAAAAACATCAGTGTACTACAGGTCTTAAAAGGGCAACAGGGCCGGGCGCGGTGGCTCACGCCTGTAGTCCTAGCACTTTGGGAGGCCAAGGTGGGTGGATCACTTGAGGTTAGAGGTTCAAGACCTGCCTGGCCATCATGGTGAAACCCCATCTTAAAAAAAAAAAGAATCTGAGAAAAGGGCAACAGAAATTAACACTGACAGAAAATCAGACCACTACCAAGACCAATTTTGTGGGCATCTTTTCAGCACCAGTTTAACTAGGAAGCTGAAACAGGGACTTACTGTTAGGAGTTTCAGTAACGTTGCCTTTTCTTTTCTGGCCAAGCAAATGAAGAACTGAAAACAGATAACTTAAACAGATGTGAACCAGGACATGAAGTGTTAAGTCTGCTCTGGCTACAGTATCAATTTATGCTTATAATCCTTAATGTATGATACCCACCCTTAGTTTACTTTTTTTAAAAGAGGAAATAAAAACAGAATTGTTTTACACATGTGAAAAGCTGAACGCCTGTGCTACACATTTTTAAAAACTAATAAAGCTTGCTATGGAATAACTATTACTAGGACTTCCATCTAATAAAATTAAAAAATTAGATTTTTTAACAAAAGCAAATACAGTAAGTTTTAGACATAGCACAGAACAAATTTATCAGGCACATCAAAGAAACTGGTGCCCATGTATAGGCTGTGAAGGGAAAGACCAAGTTTAGGACTTGCATAAGAATGATTTCTGATGAGATTGCTTACAGAAACTTTCATGGCAACTGGCCTGAGCCATCATCACACAACTACTGTTAGAAATTAAAAACCGACATGTATAAAATGTATGTCTTTTAAAATAACGTAATCGATTTGGTTCAATGTAAGAGTCTACAAGCACAAAAGCACTGCTTCAAGGTTGCTTCATTATTTTTTCCCTCCTAACAGGAATGTCAATTTACACTTTAAATAATTTCACATGGAAAGCACAGAAATAGGGCCTCTTTTCCTCATTTACATAAAAACACAGAAGACAAAAACTATAATAAAATATTTCTCTAGGTCCCAGTTGCTAGGGCAAACTGAGAACGCTTTCTTGGCTATTATAAATGCCGCTTTGGACAAATGGACATTATAGAGCAGCTCACCGGTAATGTTAAAAGCACCATAAGGGATATATTTGTTTTGTATGCTCTATAAAGAAGCCTGGGAAAAGGTGAAGACATAAATTATATAAGCAAAAGCTTTCGTGCAGTAAATTTAAAATTATTATATGACTATATACTTAATACATCAAATTGTAACCTTGTATACTGAAAAAGGTTCTTAGCTAAATGCTTTAAATACAGGTGTGCCGAGTGTGTTTCTAAAAGCAATAAAGAAAAATATGACCTTCTAAAACAGACAAATTAAAGGACTATTATGAATACTTGTTTGCAGTCAAACAGTACGCTCTTTGGCGCCAAATTAGCCTTGCAACCTGGCTGTGTTACTTAGCACTCCACTTACATTCATCGTCCATATCCCTGCCCTGTAAAGACAGTCCAGTGAGTGGCCTGTGTGATCAATTAATGCAATGGAAGGTGGCACTTCAACCACAGTCCTACCTGTGCTACAGCATGGAGAACATTGATGTCTCTGGTCCTTCTGAGTTCATTCCACTTGCCTTGTATTGAGGAAGTACAAAGTCTGTACTTTTTTTTAAGTCTCTATTTAGGATAACTAGAAATCTAATAAATAATTGAGTCCGCTCCAAACTAACTGCTTAAGAAAATACAACTTGTTTCTTTCAGCCAACCAACATAGATGACATGAGGCTCAAAGGGCATTTAAGGAGCGATACCTGTGGCTCTATTCACATTTCTGTTAAGAGTAATAGATGAGGGAAATAAACATGGATTTCACAAAGGGAAGAATACTTCTTTGTGGAAACCTCTGCATTTTAAAAACATAATAAACATTATGTCAGCAACTAGAGAGCTAAGGCAGTCATGCTGGAGGAAATCATGTCACCAACTAAGACAGCTAAAGTCAGTACCAGGTTCAGAAAATTCAAATTTTAGTGGAAAATGCAAACAACTGGAATTTTACAACTGAGTCTATATGTGAACAAGGGCAAGTACAATCGGTGAAAGAATTCTGTTCTTTTCCTGAGCATTATTAAATATCCAGATGTAATACCCTAAGCCTCTTAGGATCCTGTATAAGAAATAAAGCTGAGCCAAATAAAAAAGCCTCCCCCATGGGCACTGACCTTATCAAAGCACAAACGATACAGCAAAGACGACAGCAGAGGGTTCTTCTAATTCGAGCAATTAGTATTTAAACAATGTGTTGTTTCATGTTATCAGTTTGCCGTTTTTCTTGAGATCCTAACAGGGCCAGACTATTACTCCATGTTAACACACATTTTAAGAACGTATAAATGTTCTTAAGT